TCTAGATTGGATATTGTGACAGTAACTGCGTCTCTGTTAATAATGTGTGCAAAACTTTGTCAGTATTCCACTAGAGTAAAAAAACTGGAATGTTTTTATTAAATAAGAAACACAATTAAAATCACCTGAATAAGTTTGTTCCCGCGACAAATCATTAAAAAACATACCAACGACTTTCTGTCGTCGTCTTCTTCCTTTGCCAGAAACATCTGGTTATTGATTACATGACTCGTGTTTCCATTGCAGTTTTTGAAAAACACAAATTTTAATATATCAGGAAAACCACGTCATCCTAGAGGAAAAACAAGTGAGTTCTTTCAAAATTTGCGTATTTTCATTAAGCAAATTTATTTGCGCAATTATGAGGTGAATTGGGTGCAGCTATTGCAGGGAATTCATGAGGGTCGATCTATGCAGTCTACCTCTATGCTTGGTGCTCTTGCTGTGGTTTATTATCTATTTTAAATTATATTTAGAATTCCTAATTGCACTTTCTGAACCATTTGAAAGAAGGTTTGTTCTTTCAAACAAACCTTCAAATATGTTTTTTTTTATCATATTTGATCAATTGTTTTATAAATTGTTTTGTTTCATTTTATTTATTATTTATATTATTATTGGCTGTTAAACTAATAACTACACTGACTTAACAAATTAAAGTTGTGTTGTTTTTACATGCTTAATCAAGTTTGTGAGGACAGATGTATTTATGTGTGATTTAGTGGTGCAGATTATCCAATACATTTGTAATTCAGTACAAATGTGTGTTTAAGAAAAAGAAACATTCTAAGTCAACTCAGCTGTTTTTCTGTATCAGGTATCAGCCAATACTGGACCTCAGATATCGATATCGGTATTGGCAGTGAAAAAAGTGGCTCAGTGCATTCCCACGCAGCGTGTTATAGGAACCATATTGCATACTGTGGTAAAACTGCTACACGTTTTGTCATGCTGTATTCTCCCCAGTGCTGCTGGTGTAACGGCATCAGAAAGCATCCATACGCCGTGGTGAGAGCTGTAATGAGCAGCAGCTCCAGCGTTAATGAGGACCGAGGTAAATCTGGGGGAAATTTTAGACCCTCGACTACTCTGTCTCCCCTTATAAGCAGCCGCCTGCTCCTGCTGTCAGCAGAGCTGTGATCTGAATACCTCTTCCTTCATAAAAAATTCAGACCTTATTGACTCGCTGCTTTGGTTTCCCCGCAGAGCCCATCCTCTCAGCTCCCCTTTAAATTCTGCTCTCGTGGCTGGGGTTGCACACCTGCCTGGCGGGGGGCAGGAGGGGGAGTAGTCTCAGGCATAGCGTGGGGCTTTTATCGCTCTATCTGATGCACATCTACTAAATATCAAACGCAGTGGAGGAAATATACATTTGAGCTGAGTGGGTCGTTAGAAGATGAAGCTGAAAATCGTCTCCATTCGATCAGCTTTGAGCCGGAGTTTTGCTCCCCTGGTCTAATCACTCCGCTGGAGGGTCACTAGAGGATTATTGGCATTATAAAATGCCACATCACATCTGTTATGCTAAATATTGATATATCATGTTCCTTTTATTTCCCGCATCTGCTACCTGCTCTTTACAGCACATCATTACTGACTGAGAGCGACATTAAAACCCTCACAGGCCGGGCTCTGCCTTCTCCGTGGACAATATTTCACATCCGAGCTGCAAAAGGGCACAAAGTCTAATAAATTCCTCATTTTATATACTGCCCCCAGATTTCTAAGTCCTGTCCAATAAAGTTTTAAATGTCATAAAATTCCTATAATATAGCTTGTATAAAGTCGAGCAGGAAAAAAAAAAAAAAAAACATACACCTCTCATATCTTTTTATCCGGTAAAGTTTGATCTCTTTAAATCAACAATAAAATGGTTTTTAAACAGCCAACAAGGGGGTGACTGGCTGGCGTTATTGTTGTTGTAATTTTTCCCAACAGGCTCGTTGCTCCTTACTGACAGATAATGAGAGAATAGTGGAAACCCTTTTAGGAAGGCAACAGGCTCTATTAAGTGATACATGTTTCATGTCAGAGGTTTTCTTGTAAAAGTTTCACACAATGTGTGGAAAACTAGCAATGCTTTAAAGGTGGCGGTATTATAAATTTTCTGGGTATGCAGAGCCATTTTACAGCACAATGGAGTTACTATATTAACTCCATTGTGATGAAAAAACTGCATTTGTCAAAAAAAATGACTTCAAAGATATTTGGCTCTGCATCATCTGACACCTTGAAATTGATGTGACTTTTTTTTTTTTACATCATGTTACATAGGCCCCTATGATTTTCCAAAAGCTGTTTTTTTTTTTTCACCAAGGTCCACTTTGTATGTTTTTTTTCTGACTTTTTCCCAATGAACCAAATGTACTAAAACAAAAACTATCAGATAAATTATACTGTTCAAGAAAAGAATAAGTCAATAGCTGCAGTTCAACTGAATATTGGTCTTATAATATGTTACCGCATGTTTACAACTCTTTTTTTTTTAATGAACAGCTGTGTATATACAGAGATCACACACACCTCAACTCTATTTAGTAACCTGGTGACCTCTGAGGGCAATGTTATGGTGATGGGTTTTACAGTTATTAGTCTAAATAGGTTTTACTATACTTTCAGACTTCATATGTAAAAAAAAAAAAAAGAACAAGAAAAAAAATCATGACTATGTACCATTCTGTGTTGGTCTTTTCACATTGAAGTTTGTGGTTGTTACATTACCACAAACTCTCCGTTTGGCAACTGCTGTTAAGCTGTGAAATAGTTTTCCAGAAGATCTTAAACTATATATAAACTGATTATCGTCAGCCTGCACCTTTTTGTTTCATACTACACTAATTATTACAATTATTGTTCTCTGACATTGCTTTGAATTTCTTTGATTTGAAGCTGCAATGTTGATTGACTATTATTATTATTATTATTGTGTGTGTGTGTGCGTGCGTGTGTTTTACATGGAATTGGCTATAAAAATAAATTAACAAATAAAACATTGCATTAAAAGCTGTGTAAACTTCCGGCCAGGACTCTGAGCTGCGGCAAGCTGGTTGAACAGGCAAAAGCAGAGAAGCATCTCTGAGGCACAGCATTTCACACTCGGATAGAGGCAGAGGAAAGGCCTTTAATGACACACACACACCCTCCCTGCCACCCCCTCTACCCCAGTCACCTAGAATGAACACGCTGCGCTGGAAATAGACCGGAAACTCTGCCTGTGTGCCGGCCAGAAACCTGGTGATACATGCGCTGCCGGCCTGCCAAACAAAACCCTCCAACACACACCGAGGCTCTGCCACGTCTCAATCGCACAGAGCAGGTTACACATCGAATGTTTCTCACATTATTGTTGTCTTGATAAGGGCAAGCAGGACTTTTAAGTGTTGTTTAGATGTGTAGGGAAACAGCAGACGAGTCAACAGATGGTTGAAGTGTTCATATTCATTATGAAAGTGTGTGTATTGGGTTGAGTCATGTGGTTCACTGGAAAATAGAGGCTTCCAGAGTGTAAACAAGGAGGTGGTGTGTGTAAGTGGAAGCTCGTTGAGCAGCAGGCCTGTTCAGTCTCAGTGCTGCTGTGAGCGGCAGGTTGCTACACTGAAAAAAATAAGTCATTGGATGAACATAAAAAAATTATGGAAAGGATTTCCACCTGATTACTTTGCTTTATTTCAGCACCATGTACTTGTGTTACTCCTATTTAATGCAAATGTGTTAGGTCAACCTAATTTATTAAGATTATTCCAATGTAAAGCAAATGTGTTGGCTCAACTTGTTACAATGGTGATTCAATTGGTGATTCTAAATCAAACATGTTGGCTCAACTTAATATATTGTGGTTATTCTTATATAAATAAAATGAGTTGGCAAAACATAATTCATTAAGGTTGTTCTAATTTAAACCAAATATGTTGGCTTAACCAGAATCATGGTAAGGCAATGGATGATTGTAAATCAAATGAGTTGGCTCAACTCCATTCATTAAGGTTATTCAAATTCAAATGAAATGTGTTGGCTCAACATATGTTTTAAAGGTTCCTTTAACTGAGTTACTATAGCGTGACCCAGTGTAATGCAATACAGCCCGCCCAACTAATCTGCAATGTTTAGGACCAAATCATTGATGTAACTTCATTAAGATGAATGTAAATCTAGTTGAAACCACCTTATTTTACAGTGGTACCTTCACACTACCTGATTCAGTAGGTCCAACTCACTAAAAGCAAGTTAGCTCAACAAATATGCTTCATGCTAAAAGACAGCTAGTTAATCGTGTGGAAATCCTTTCCATTATTTCATGACGTTAATTCAAAGACATATTTTCAAGCGTTAATCAAGCATTTTAAGATAGCACTAGGTGAAAGTGTAGGAAGAACACTCAACAATTAGAAAAGGTACAACACAATTGTATTTTGTTATACATCGTTTTTTTACACAGCACAAAACACAGCTGAGTTGGACATTGAAATAAAAAAAACAACTACAAAAAGGTTACAGTTTCATTTCCCAGCCAATTCTTTACAACATAAAACATGTCAGTATAGTTGCTCAACTTAGAGAACTGTAACAATATAAATCTTTTCTACTGCAGACTTTAAACACTCATTTTCCATATGAAACTTTGCTCAACTTAGCAGCGAGTTTCATATTGAGAACTTGTGCTTTCTTTGATAAGTTCTTTCCATCCAATTTCATTATTATTTTCTGTATTACTTCAAAGGTATGCTTGAGTTACTGAGCAAGTTGAGTGCTGAACGCACTAAACTTGAGGGTAGCTCAAGTTTAGTGCGTAGATTAGTCCCAGCAGCATCACTATTGCAGAAGATACACTGCCCAAGCTGTTCATAACTTCCACCTCCTCCAGGACAATCCAACATCCAGATGTGCATCGGCAGCCTCTGCACCCTCTGCTCAAATGACGATTCCGAGGACAGTCTCGGCTTTGGCCATTTCATTCATCAAAGTCCTAAGGGAGTTAGGGAAGGGTATTGGGGGGGAGACAATTCACATGTAATTAAATAAATAAATTAAGACTGACATTGATTGAGTCACTCATGGACCTTAGTTGGTGAAAGTATTTTAACAACTCTTAGGAGTTCTATTGTAAACACAAAGAGAATTTAACATACCATGTACTCCCTCACCAGCTTCTCTGGATCTTCATTTAGGTACACACAGACATTTGAGGATGCACTCTCGTCTGACCTCAGCAGTGTCTTCCTAAATATGCAGATCAAAAAACAATGAGAACAATCTCAAAACTCCAGCAGTATAGGTTCACACACTTGAAAACATAGCTACATTCAAAGGAAGTCACAACAAAAGTGATCAGTGGCTTGCAGTCTATTTTAAATATTTAAAATTGTTAGTATCCCTTCATTATGCCATGACTAAAATGGAGTTTAACATCTCATTTAAACATCTAACTGAAGCTGTTAGAGGTTTAAATAAAGACATGAATATATCACCAAAGAAATATGTGAAAGTACAGAATGGTCAACACAGTCTATATCCTTCTACTTAAATGATATGCAAAGCATTCCATGTCTTACAAGTACATGGACAGTCTATGTGTGGGCATGGATAACGTCGCATATGCCGGTGTTTAAGTGTAAAATGTTTTAACAGGTCATATCTACGAGACAGAGAGAGACTACACTCCTTACATTTCCACATCCCCACACAAATAAAGACAAATAAAACAGACTGGCCAAATAAATGTTTAGCTGAACCCTAGCTTTATAAGCTCTCTAACACTACATTCAGTCACTTTAGATCTGGCAAAACTTACTATTAGCCACTGAAATCTATAACTTGATAGCCGATGAGCCCCTTGACCAGTACTTACGCAGGTGGATTACAGACAGGTGATGTTCTGAAAGAGATCAGATATATTTTCAGCCATTAAAATATGCAATTCATACTGAACTGAGTTGTATCTTTTAGTACAAGTCCCTTGAATGCCTCATGAATATAACCACTGGACACTTGTATGCAAGCACATATGTGCAGAACAATGGTGAATTGAACATGGTAGAAAGCAATAGTAACAAAGGTCAAAATGAGCACAAACAATCAACACAAAAAACATCAACATTTCAAAATTAAACCAATGAACTTCAATATTGTTTCTGAGCTACAATTATTTGGGGACAACAAAAAAGTCCAAAAAACCCCAACATCTTTACAGCAGAGGAATATGTATTTTAAAGAAAAAAAATAGAAAGCTCAAGTCTGTAATAATGGATAATCCATTGAGAGTTTTAGCCTGACAAAATATACTAGAAATCCACAACTAACAGGTATTTTAGGAACATTTAACAAAGCTCAGAAAGCAATGCTTTCTGCAGGTTTCACCGACTGAAATGTAGGACTTTTTATTACCATAATTAATTAAGAATCTCGATGATGATAGAAAGGTACCAAAGTGTGTGTGTGTATCTACATTTACCTCCATAGTAACATTACTGAAATAGAATTAAAATAGTTAGAAATAGACTGATGTTAGATCAGTGTGTTAAAAATCCACTAAACCTCCAGGGAGCTCAGGAGGAGCAAAACTGTGACATTTCTGGGGTCCATTTGTGTCTCTGGCAGCAGCTTTGTGACCCTTACACTACATATGGCTCTGCAGAGTACCTAACATGGTGCGGCGATAAATGTAAAGAAAAAGCTATCTGCCTTAACCTAACCGACTTAATCTACAGAACATGAAATAATGTATGACACAAGTATGGAACAAGTAGAAAATGGTGCAAATGGTAGAGAAATTTTAAGTTACATATTTTTATATGGATTTAGATGAAAATAGTTTGACTCTTACCTTCTTCAAATTAAGTAGATGCACGCCAGGAATCTCCCTCTGCCCTTGAAAAAACCCAACAAGTTGCGAGCCAGTTATCTCGCGTGATTTTCCGTAATCTCTTGATGTCGCTGGATCCTCTTCAGCGGGAGATGAGTCTGACACAATAGCGCTTTGGAACTGACGTCACTGTATTTTTTTTTATTAGATTAACTTTGACAAATATTGATATTGAATAAAATAAAAAAACATATATATATATATATTATATATATATATATATATATATATATGTCGACGGTTTCAGATCTTCTGTGTTTGAGAAATTGCAAAAAGTTAAATGAAAAAATTCTCTAAAGTGAACTGTTCAGTTCTGTTAAACTTTTATTTGAAGACTCCGAGGTGATCAGTTTTTTTTGGAGGACCTGCGATAAGCAGGTCCTCCAAAGTCCTCTTTGGAGGACTATATATATATATTATATATATAATATATATATATATATAATATATATATATATTATATATATATATATATATATATATATATATATATATCTTGGCACAGCCAAGATACTGCGCAGGACCCTCAAGCTCCCAGGCCTCTGGTAGAGGCCTGGGAGCTTGAGGAATTAGATGTATTCAAGTTGAGATAACGTCATTCAATCACGTTAGTTCAGTTGAGAGAAAAAAACCGATTGTCTCGCGTGTTCTCGCGTGATATCCCGTGATCTCACTCGTTGTCGTCAGCACAATATCAGTCTAACTATAATGAATCATGTTAGCTCAACATGATTCAATTTTAAATGTGAAGTCGTGGAATATCTTGTTTATCCAACATGATTTTATCACGTTTTCGCTTCAAACCCAACATTATTGTGTGAAAGGTACATGATATTTTTTTGTTAATGTAATACGCCCCGACGTTCTTTTTTTTTTGGCGGAAGCTCTAGCTGACGTAATTGAATCACGTTATCTCACCTTGAATACATTTTATTCCATTTGCGAGAAAAAAACCGATTGTCTCGCGTATTCTCGCGTGATATCCCGTGATTTCCCGTAATCTTGCGTGAACTTGCGTGATATCGCGTGATCTCACTCGTGGTCTTCAGCATAGGATCGGTCTGACTATAATGAATCATGTTTGCTCAACATGATTCAATTTTATAAACGTTGAAGTTGTGGAATATCTTGTTTATGCAACATGATTGTATCATGTTTTTGGCTCAAACATGCAATTATTTAGTTAACAGTACATGATATTCTTTTGTTAATGTGATAACCCCTGAGGTTCCTTTTTTACAGTGTACGGTTTCTGACTGCTTTCTGCTCAACTTGTCACAAAGGATTCATCGATAAATCGCCCAAGACTTACTTCATTTTAGGCTGAAAAATAAATAAATAAATTGATAACGGCAGAATCAGCTGGTCAGGATTTTTAAAGATCTGTCACTGGTAAGAAAATTTCTACCATAAACTAAATGATAAGTCTTCAGGCTGGCACCTGGGGTCATTTTTACAAAAGATAATTTAGCTTACAGAGACTTCATAAATCATTTCATTTGTTGTTTCTGTTTGGTTTATTTATTTTGGATATTTAAAATCTCCAATTCCAGTGTTGAAGGTTTTTAAAACTTAAAGTTTAATGACCCTTGAGAACAACACTATTATTGTTTAACACAATAACTTCTGGTACAATTTATCATCCAGCAGCAGCAGCTGCAGCTGAACTGCTGTGTGAAGCTGTGAAAACAGTACAGGTGCCAATCTTTAAAAAGATTCAAATTTTTGTGGATTCTGATGTATTTTGTCTGAAATGTTGCTGAATTTAGTGACAAAGTTGCTAAGTAAGCCCAGGGACTATCGTTAGGTGACCTGCACGGGTCTGTCTGTCTCCTGGCAGAGCAGAATGAGACACTGGCTGATTTTCTGACCTTTGTGTATAAAATCGGTTTCATGTGTGAGTATGGGCCTAACAGCCACATCCCAGAATGAAGGAAATGCAGGATCATTTGTCATTTCACCCCCAGAAAAAAAGCCCAGGTTCTCCCCATTTTAATGCAAATCAGTACTTTTAAAGACTTCAATGGTTTAAGATTAGCTATATTGATTGAACTAATATGTCAGCATGTTTTTGGACAGACTGGAAGTGAACTATATACGTCTCTGCAGCATTCGTATTTGCACATAGTCAACCTTTGATTAAAAGTTCAAACTTTTCTAAATTTGTCATTTAGAGTTTATGCTCCTGAAGCAAAAGCCGGTCACTTAGTTCACACATCCACACCATTGGTAGGGTAAGTCTGGAGAGAGCTGCTGTCCCTGTGTCCTGTGGTTGCTTAAGAAGCCACACAGTGTTCGAATGAAGATCCAATATAATCTGCAGGCTGCACTGTGTTATAAATGGATGGAATTCAACAAAGCAGAAAGTCCTAAATATGACTGTACTGGATATGGATTTTGTTCAAATGAAACCAGTTTAAATCAGATGTTCAAATGAAACCAGTTTAAATCAGATTGTCTTTAAATAGATAAATGATGAGTTTTTCCTGGAATCATTTTTTAATTCTTGATGATTGGTAATTGGAGCACCTTGTCTAAAACAAACAAACAAAAAAAGCAATCTTTTGGTATTAAACATATATTTCAGAGCATAATATTTTTTAGAAATGCAGATGAGTCCCCACTGACTCAGACATTTCTACACGTTTAACATGACATACACTTCACTTATGTTCTATTAATACTGAATGCTTTCTTATCGATCGTCCGTCTTTGCTTGTTTGTAGCTTGGATTCAGGCCAGTTCATACATTATATCTCTGCATGCTGGTTCCCAGCATTTTATCCCACCTCCCAAAATGTCCCCCCAACACCCCCCTACCCCCCATTCCCCTTTCCTCCTCCAGCACTGAACACCAGGCTTCTTCCAGTGTTATGACAAAGCGGGGTTAGCCTCAACTCTTCTAATGAGCTTCTGTGTTCCAGTATGTTGCATAAAGCCATTACCCTCCCAGCCCATTACCTCATCCATTTCTTATATGTGGATGGCTTCCGTCTCCCAAGAGCACAGCATTTCTGTGGTATACACACACGCACAAACACACACACTTTGGTCATCTCGCAGTCTAAAATGTTTCTATTTCACACAGATGCTTATTTGACCCCGAGAAATCACAGAGAGAGAGGGAGAGAGAGAGGGGCGAAAACAGGACGGAAAAAACCCCACAAACTCCACTAGCAGGAGATCAATTGCTGAGACACCAGACGAAGGAAGAAAAACAGAGAGAGCGATTGAGTGGCGCTATCTCAGTATGTGGCAACTATTGCAGTGTGGGATGAAAGACGCAGGTGGTGGCGAGCTCCGGCTCGTTTGTGGAGGCAATCCAGGATGATGGCGTTTGCTGATTCCCCTCGCAATTTCTCTGTTGGTTCAGCGAAGTCAATTGTCAGAAAAACAAAACAAATAAATAGCAAAATAAATATCCTCTCGTTAACAAATACAGTCGGTTTACTGTGTTGGGGTTCCGGCAGTTTTCACCAATGCAAAGTTAAGACTTCTGAAGACCAGCATGAATGAAATTTAAGAGCAGCACCATGACAAAAACTATTAACTATAAATATTCTTACTTCTGTTGAATTAATGACAGTTTCTTTCTGTGTGTCATCGTAGCTCCACCTGTGGCTCTGTCCTCGTTTGGTACCTTTGCTTTTTCTCATCTGTATTGCAACAAATAAGAATCTTCACTAGGTAACCGTGATGCTTAATCAACATGTTTAAAATCCACTAATCCTCTGTCTTCAGAGTTTGTGTCGGAGCAGCGAGATCCGTGCTAGCAGCAGCACTGGCAACCGTTTTCAGGGGAGCTTTCGCGATGCCAGAGGAGCAACACGCTGACATTTCTGGGGTCTGTTTGTGGCTCGTGGAAGCAGCTTTGTGCTTTTCACAAAACCCCCCATAACCTCCACAGTGACAAGTTTTTTCACACTGACTGAACGTAGCATCATATGGGTTGGCAGCAGAAGTGAGCCAGCGGCAAAGACTGAACCCAGGAGAAATGCAAAAAGCTAGCTTCCTGCACAGGCTACCTTACTCTATCTTATTTATTAGCAGAAAGTTACCGGTCAAACTGGACTCAAACTTTCGCATGACAGAAAAGTCCTACTTATTTAAAACCAACTTACAGTATATTTTATGAATTGAGCTATTTTAAGGCCTTAATTTTAGATAAATACATTTTTGACTTTTTAAGACTTTGAAGGTGCAGTAGGCGACTTTCATGAAGAACATGTTTTTTATGTATAACACTGTCGCCATGTTGTGACAGTTTGTTATGAGACAGATCATCTGTGAAAAGATGGATCTACTGTTGATATGCACTGACGAAGAAATGCACTGACCAAAAACAACCAATCAGAGTCAGGAGGAGGAGCTTAGCGCTGTCACTCAACCTCATTTATTGCTGCTAAATGTGCTAATGGCGGCGAAACAACTCACTGCTACAGAAAAACCATTTCTCTTCCATCATAGCTGTCTAAGTTAACTAGGCCCAGCATTCACAATAGGCTCTGCTGATGGAGAAAACCTGGCAGTTTTTATTATTGCTTATCACACAACAATTTATTAAGCAAAATGACCTGCTTTCAAACACCAGAGTCATCATGAGGTATTCAGCATCAACCATTGATTGTTGATTCCCCAACCACTGACACTGATACTCCTGAAGGACCACGTTATCTGAGAGTGACAGATGTCGGACATGATTCTCTCACACCTCAGCTTGAAATCAGCACAATGTCACAACTCTTCCCTCTTCTTCTTCTTTTTCTCTGCTGACAGAGACTGTGACTCTGAATAAAGTAGTCGGTACAGCACAAGGCTTTACAGAGATATCAATATTTAATCAGAGTTAAAGGCAGCTGGAATTCACAGAGACAATAGATGGAGTTTATATAAAGTGCTGTTGCAATCAGCCCAGCTGTACTGGGTTTTGGAGTGCTTGCACAAAAAAATAAGCAATGAGCCAAACGGGGCCTAGGAAGCACCTAAATCTTCTTATATT